CGGTTTTCCACTGCAGAAGGGTCTGCTTGGTAAAGACGTTGCCAGGTTTGTAGAGCAACAGCGACGTAAAATCGAAGAGACACTTATTTGCTGTTCACACGGTGTACATCATGATATAACATTGTGCAATTATTAGGGGCCCAAACACAATTGTTTTTGTATCTGTGTGCTAATTTCCGTCTGTGAGAATCATCATGTTATGCAAGTATCAAATGCTAGCTGAATTAGCATTCACTTATGTAACTTTGCATTGCGAATCCATTCCGTTTCAGCTGTTCTATATATTTTTTTAAGTAGGATGTTAGATATTCTGATGTGTGATGCTACTAATAATGAATAATAGATAGAATATACCCTTTCCCCTTCAGATAATATATGCACAGAACACCAGTATCTCTGTGTATTTCAATCAATCAGATGGCTGTGACGCAACCAGCTCAGTCTGGTAATGCATATTTTGCAACGGAAAGGCACCAGTTCGCGGTATGGGTCAGGTACAGCTCGGTTCTTGGTCGCAATGCCAAAAGGTTGCCATGCATAAATATGGATTGTGTTACCACTGCCAGTTAGAGGTGTTTGAAAAGCAGACAAATGCTGATGATATTTAATATCACATTAAAATGAGTGTGAAAACTGGAAAAAAACACACTTCTGTTCAAAAAGATCCATTTCTCTCTACTGAAAATGCCTTGTATCTTAGGCTGTCTCCCCCCAGTGATTTAAAGTTGCTCCCCTGTCTCTGAAAGGAATCAGGACTTCCCTGCTCTGAAGAGACAATACTGTGAGCATTGGCTGACCCAGATACCCTACAGATACCCTAAATGTACCAGACTGTCGGTTCCCATCAATGTGTTTGCTAGCTGGCCAACCAAGGACGACGGAAGGACTGGGACATCCCTCTGCCTCCTCCAGCAGAAATATACCCTCTCAGTCCTCTCCCACAGTACTGCACTGGCTTTTGACCTACACACACGCTGAACACACCACCGTTATCTCTCTTACACTCTTCATAAGTATATAGCTGACTATACTATATATAGCTCACTATTTACACTGGACAATATGGTCTGTGTCTCATGAATCCTGGATGCTAGACTGTCCCTCTCCAATGCAGGTAACTGTTCATAATTAAAATGTCTTCTTATTTTAAGAGGCGCAGCCTCAGGCCTTAAGGCTTGGGACTTGGTCAGTCATGCGTAAATTTGTATTGTATTTCCTCTGCAGCTGCAACTGAAAATGTTTGAAAAATGCGGGTGTCAAGTCTTGAGGCCATTAACACCACATAGAATTGTGTGGAGAATTTTTAAAACAAGCTGCATGTATAAGTCTTTGAAGACCCTGGTGGAGAGCAGCTGCACTGAACACAGCTCCATCCATCCAAGAAGCACCTAATTGTAAGATGAGGACGTCTTGAGCAGAGAGAGAGACTTATGAAACATGCATCCTTTTGATTTAGTCACATGGGAAATGTATGTAAAATTTACTGCATGTGTAAATGAAAATTCGCAAGGGTGACTTAACATTGCAGAGATTACTTTGCATTAGGCATTTATCTGACATATATCATGTATGCTCGAATATTGGTGACTCAGAGCGGCCGTAAATGAAACAAATGATGGCGGGTAAAATCTCATAATGGCTCATGTGTTTTGCTTATATATTTTATTTTACATTAAGCTGCCTCTTGCCTAATTTCTCCTTTAGCTAGGAGAATGGTGAACAGACTGACAAGCAGCATGAAGCTTGCCTACCTCTCCTGCCTCTGTCAGTGAAGAGCATGACAGATACACTGATCCAAAGTAGGTTATGAGCAATGATCAAGGCCACGGTAGTGGTGCGGGAGTCACGACTTTGGGCCTCTTGGTTCATCCAGCCAGTGGTCTTTTAAATTCTTACCCCGCCCCCACCTCTCCCTCAGCCATGCTTCTCTGGATGTCTCTCAGATCTGGCTTTGACGAGCAGCACAGCGCTGCCAGCTCCTCAGCTTGGCTCCTCTGCTCATGCTGAGGCCCCTGATTATTGGTGCTGGCGTGGTTTAAGATCAACATGCTAATCTGTGTTAACACAGTATCCTAGGGAGAGCTTCAAGCAGGAGTCATGGAGGCTGTTTTACAGCCAGCAGCTCCTGCGGATCGCCGGCTCTCTGCAATCACAGCTAGTGCCACAAGCTCTTCTTATACAAACAAGTCGTATGAAATAATAATATTGTGATGTTATAAGAAAAACAGAAGCATTTTTATCTGAAAGATGTACTTTGTGCCTTTGGTTTTATAAATATCCCTGAGAAGTCCTGAATCTTGAATGAAATTGGAATGAGACAAAAAAAGATCTATGAAAGATTTTTAAATAATGCTGCTTCATTTAGTTGATTAAAATTAGATAAATGGTATTTCTTTAATCTTCAAGGTTTCTATTTTGTGTGTTAATGTAGATTTCTCAAAATCTTGTTTTCTGCATGGTTGACTTTAGTTATGAATATTGTCAGTTTGCCTGGTTGTAAAATCTGTAAGAATAGAGGATACTTCAGCTGACAACCTCAGGGCAATGTTATCATATTCAATATTGCTACAGTAAATGTATTCCTTTTGTGGACAGAACCACATGCAGAATATCCATGGTGTGAAAGAGCAGTCTTTTTATCATAACTCTGACACCTTAATCTGCATCAGATGCATCGCGAGAAATAGTAAACTGTTGAATAAATATTAGCTGTTATTAGAAAACGGCAGCTTTATAATTTTAGCTGTTGTATTATGTTGTATTGTAACTTTTTTGTTCTTCTTTTCTGATGGTCTAGTATGAGGACAATTGGATCCATAAACATATTATTTTTTTTAAACAAGATGGCAGTTGAAAACCTGACTTTTCCTCAAAGCCTTCTTTCTCTGCTTAAAAACTTCTTTTATATTTCTGCAGTGAGAGCAAAGGCATATTCCTTGATCGTCACAAAGATTTGTCTGGGGTTCTATCATCGGAAACCTGGCAAGTGTTATTATGAACTCAGGATGAGGAACAGATTGGCCATCATCTAGTGTATGGTCCCACAACTGCCTGTATTTTTGCCTGCTATGATAGGACACGGCTTTTGGCGTCTGCGCAACAGTCTGCGAATGGACTGTTGTACATTACCATCGCGCAGCTGGGGGGGTTGGGTATCCACCCCAGAAAATAGCCTTTCATTCTCTCTGTCCCTCTACCCTTTATGTGATTTATAAATAATTCACTGCAACAGCTTCTCCGTATTTTTATGTAACCCCAAGCCGTGACATAGGCATGTGATCATGGCCGTCTTGCAAGCCAAGGTCATCGCAGACAGACTTAAATACCCACAGAGGTTGATTTGATTTTTGGGGTTTTCATTCTCTCCAGACTTGTTAATGGCCTCCAGCCTCTGTTTCCATAATTAGGAAAGATTAATTTCATTTGCTGTCATGTATAAATGGCTTCAAAAGGCAACAATAACCATTACGGCACATTTACTTCTTGGAAACATTGTACATTTTGGCAATCATTAGACATTTAAGTCCTCACCGACTTTCAGGCAGTGCCAAGACTCCAAAAATCCGATTGCAAAGGATGTATCTTTGCTGATGCTTTATAATACCATTAGTGTCAGTGCTATGGGATTCCTCTGAATTTTGGCCACTTACACCATTTAGGTGTTGGGGGATAAGGGGGGAGGTGTTGGGCGATTTCCATAAGCGGGCATTTTTTCTGGACATCCTACACATCCCAGAGTACAACTTCCACACCCCATTTATGAAAAGATATAGCAATCAATCAAGGCCAACTCATTTAAAAAAGTATCTCTTCAATGCTGCAAATTTTAAGGAGCACATCTTCTGCTTGGCTATTAAGCAAAGAAATCACTATGGTTTTACCATTAATGTTGGTATAATACTCTACAGTGTTTGCTAGTATTGCAGCTATTAAAATGTCTGTCATGGTTTATTAAGACGGCAGGCTTAGTGAAATTAATTGTGTGCATAGTTAATATTTTCAAAACACATCCAAAGGAAAATAGTAAATTATACAGTGTTTTATTTAGGGGAAAATTCAATTTTAAACAGCTAAATAAGGAAAGGTATTACTTTTATCCATTTCTAATTAAATATTGAAGGGCCACCTATTTGTACAATGCAACAGGTACACAAGTAGGGAGCCAGGACAACAAGGGACAAAGGACAGCATGGGGCAGCAACGGGAACATTTTCAGTATAAACTGCACTCTACAGTCTGTACATGAACATACATCTATGTAGTGTACATGTAGGTGGACAAGCACACACTGTTGTCTTTTCACCAAATAAAATGTTAAACGTTTAAATGTCATACTTATGATAAATGCTTTATCATGTGGTATCATTATTACGCTCTGGTGCTCTTTTCATTTATACATTGGCATCATTTAAGGGCTGACAGTCTGAAGCACATTCCTCTGCATTGTCTGTCATTCAAGCGCCGTGAGTCAGTCTCTGTCTGTGTGGATGGGGAGCTGAAGGTGACTCACTGGGACAGGGAGCACAGCATCCTGTGCAGCATCCTTGACATCACTGAAAAACTAGGCTCCTGTTCTGGCCAGTTGCCGCGTACTGGCAGGTTTCCTCCTAGTCCAATGACGTGCAGTGTGGCTAATCGCTACCTCCAAATTTCCCATTGTAAGTATGTGCCCTGTGGTGGACTGGCATCCCATCCCACCTGTGTACCCCAACACATTTCTCATGTCGCTATGTTGGTAGTTGTCACACACGATAGCGGCTAATCAAAAAAAGACAAAGTAGCCCACAGAAGCACTGCTTTTAGCCCTGAACATTTTTCCTACTGTGAACAGGCTGAGCCCGTTCTTGTTAAAAGGTTACAATGTAGTTTAGATATAGGGGTATCACACTGTGTACTCATGCTTTTTCAGAACTGAATGGTAGATGCTGGGTAACTTGATAATCAATCCAGTTACATACTTCATTGCTTTTAAGAAGATAAACCAAGGAGTCAAATTTTAACTGTAGTAAAGCTTTATTTTCAAAACAATGCCATTGTGATTTTGTTTTGTTTATGAAAAGACACACAAAGTTTAAACTGTTCATTCATCACTGAGTTAAAGACCAGACTATTGTTACTATCATTACTATTAATGTTGTATGCTATGCTAAGCCAGTTTAAGCACACAGCAAACTGCCCATCATCATCATTCTATTTGGACATTTCTGATTATGAATTACCACGTAGGTAAAAGATACAGGAGCAAGTACTTATTTTCCAGCCGTTAATCCATGTTTTCTTTAATGTTTTTCTCTTGCCTGAACCACTATAACAGACCTGTAAATTTTCTTAAGACTGAATTAAAATGAGTAAATTATCAGGTTGATCTGCTACTCTTTCAAACGAGCTCAAGGGCCTGAGAAGCATCAGGAACTCCCAGTGTCTCCTGCAGGATTTCACCATCCTCGGCCTCATTTGAGTTTTCGAGGTACTTGCTGATGCCGCCAACACACTCCTGCTGTATTTTGGTGGGTTTGTCAGCAGCTGGCTTGTCAGCCTGTTCCAGACACGGGCTGCTTAGCTCAGGCGTGGAGCACCTGACGTCCTCTACCTCACCGTTCTCATGCTTCACCTTCACACCCAGAGCTATGTCCTCAGAAGGACTAGCTGTGATTATGGCCTCTGTGCTCGCCCCTTCTGAATGATCATACAGGTGGTTTTCACCTGCTTCAGAGCTCCCCTCTGTGGGACTATTGACCACGTTTTCCAGCATACCTGTTTCCTCCATCTTTTCATCAACAGGGGTACATGACTCGGAAACAGCGGTCTGAGGAGTACCATTGGCTGTTAAGGTGGCTTCTGTCTCAGTGTCTTTAGTGCTTTCGCTTTGACCTTCGGCCTTGTCAAGTGTTGGACTGACTTGGAAAATGGGAGCCTCCTGTATATTCTCTGCTTCCTCTGGTACTGGGTTTCCTTCAGCCTCTACCACCTCACTTACTTTGGAATCAACAGTAGCATCTTCAGGAACACGCAAGCCTTGGGAAGTGCTTTCCAATTCTGGAACACAGGGTTTGTGGTGCACTGACGTATCCGTGGCCATTGCTGAAATCTCGGAGGGATCATCAAGGGCAGATGAACGACATTCTCCCAGACTAATTTCTGGAGCTACAGCCAATGTTGTGGGATCTTTGGGTGATTCTAAATCTGGCTTGGAAATCAAGTTGATTGCAGTGCTGGATGTTCCAGGCTGTTCCAGGTCAGCAGAATCTCTTTGTACCTGGTTAACAGACCCTGGGTCTGGGTCCTGTGCTGTTGACTCAGTGCATGATATCTTTTTTTCTGTGGCTTTTGCAAAAATTTCATTCTCAGAATCCTGGGATTCTTCGATTGTCACGTCCGTTGCTGATGTGATGGAGCCTCCTGCTGCCTCAGGTCTGCTTTGGACATCTTGACTTTCTGGTGGAGATGACTCACTTGATTGTTGAGGTTCAGCAAAAACTTCTTTCTCGTTTGTCCCGGAGACCTCTGGTCCTGGATTCTTGGCCTGAGAGCTCAGTTCAGTTGCTGCAGATGCTTCTGCAGCCTTTGGCTCTTCATTTACTGTGAGGGGTGCAGTTTCTCCTCCTGCTGATGCTTCCTCTACTTCCTTTGGAGATGCATCAGGAGCTGCCTCTTCTGGTGGATTTGTTTCCTGTGATGTTCTGTTAGCCTCCACTGCAGCTTTCTCAACTGCAGTAGTATCCACGACGGTGCTGGAAGAACCTGAAGCTTCAGACTCTGACTTTAGTTTAAATGTCATTGAAGTGTCTTCCTCATTTTGCTTCCCGGTGTGTCTCCCTGCAGCCTCCTCCTTCTGGTCTTTTGGGTCATTCACATTGTAGCCCTTCTTCCTCTTGGTCAGCTTACCTCCCATATTGCCTCCTAAATTAAACCACAATTGATTAATTGCATGATATATATGCAGCAGCCAATGCTAAGCATATACCTAATGAAAGCAACACCCTCAAATTTATTGTGTCTTTTGTTGTAAAAGTTAATCTTTACACTGCTTAATGTGCCCTGTATTCATAAATGCCCTATTCTCAGTGTCCCCTGCCTCTCTGGATCTGCGATAGGGTCCAAAATCACTGTAACTTTGAACTGCACAAGAAGTTACGGAAGATACTTATTACTGTATAAAATTCTGCTTAATTGCCAAAGGGAAGTATGTCCATTGAAACCTTAAGGTGGATTGTATGTGCAATATGAAAACATTGTAAAAACACTGTAGGTCCAGTGATAAGATTAAAAATACATTTAAGCAGAAAACTATGAATCACTGTGACAGCAATATGATTAAATCACCATGTTGGTTTGCATTTGCGTAATGACATACTTGGCTAGACTTATATGTATCACTAACTTTATAAAATGTCATAAAGTTTAAAGTAAATGAGACTAAGAGAAGGTCAAGAAAAAACGCTAAATTGACAAAGAATGAGGTGTCGGTTGACTTTTGTTTCACACGTCACATTTGCACAGTGAAATACACATTTAAACACGCCACAAAAACACGTTAAATCTTATACACAGCATACTCGATCTTACTTTTTTTCTTGGCAAATGTCAACCCATGATTAAATAATATTTTTATTATTAAATTAATAATAATTAATAATAGCCTAATAATAATTAGTTGAACTTAAGAAAGAAGACATCTAGTGTTTCTATGTTCAGTTTAGCTAGGTTAATATGAACTTTTTTAATTAGGGAACGTGGATTTTAACATTTAACATATTAATATTCAGTATTTTAATAAAATTATCCAGTCAATTAAATTAATGAGCCTATTTTCCCTTTAGGCAAATAGATCGCATAATTATTTTAGGCAAAATCATTAAACCTGCAATTCCCCGTAATTACCAAAGGAACTGTCCTTAGTACTGCAGTCAAGAGGAAGCGGTGAGCCGTTGTACCAGGGTTAACTCGATCAGACACTAGGTTTAAACTACCACGGTTCTTTTGGAAGCAATGAGCCACAGCGTTGCTCCATAGTCATAAATTATTTGTAATAAACGTTTGTAAAATTTGAAAAATGAGATAGGCCTACACAAAAACGTGTTTAAAATCCAAATATGAAAAGAATTTAAGAGAGTTCTAAAAAAGAATGTGGCATAAAGGTGCCAGGAGAGTAACTATAGGCCTACGTATTTGTGAAGCGAAATGCCAATCGCGCCTAGGAAATGAACACGAAGTACATTTTACTACTTTAATGTGCTGAACTCTTACGACAACAGTAGACTGCTACTGCTTATATAGGCTACCTGATAACAATGAAAAAAGAATGAAACAGGTAAATACAAATTATTTTTAGCACTGTTGTAATCCAAATGAAAAAAATTAATCGATTTCTTAAATCCAAAGGGAAGCACAGGAAATTCCATCACGTTACATTTCGATGCCTGCGGTGGGGCAGGTAGTGCAGGAAGTAAAGTGTGATATCTCAAACAAATTTCAACAACAATGATTAACCCTTAAACTAGATCTCTGGATAATGAGGGTATGTTGTTCTGATCACTGATTTTAATCAAGCGCTAGATCTCAAGGCTGAATATAATGAATACATTCACAGGTCCACAATAAGCTCCCTGTCACCATCCCCGCCCCTCCCCATTCCATCCAAAACCATATCTAGAGCAACCTTCAAATGCTTCCCAAATTTTCAACTACGTTTAGGATCGATCGAGTGAACAAACAAACTGAGCAAAAATATCAGGTATGAGCTCGTTGTTAATAATAAATCCAAATTTAACGACGCTAATGGTTTACAAAAAGTGGCATGAGAATCCAGTCATTTAACGATAAATTACATTGAAATACTCTTAAAATAACTTGCAGTGACCAGACCTTTTAGTTTAAAGCATATAAATAAAGCCTATTAAAAGCCACTAAACAAAAACCATTTCCCCATTTAACTTCATTGTCATTATTCCTCAATATATTGTGACTTAATGTTCTGTCAAAGAACCACACCTTCGGTTTGCTCCATCAGACACTAGAAAGCTGATCTTTTTTCTGATTTTTTTCGCAGAAATGTCCGAGAAATACCCGTTATGTTGTATAAACTTATTATTGAAGAGAACATTCTGTGATGAATCCCTGGATGGTAACATTTGCACTTTTCTTAAAAAAAAGAGCACATGTACAGCACGAGAACAAAGGAGCGATGCGATCCTCTCCTCTCATTATCTGATCATTTTTTTCTCTCTTTACTCGCACCGTTATCACACCACGCGTTGCCAAAAATTTCTCAATATACTCAATATATTCTAAATGTAATTTGAGAAACCACACCTTGTAAAACAAACCAACCTGTTTTCCTTCTTAAATGAGACTTTAAAATCCAGAGTGGCACAGAAAAGTCGGCGGTCCTGTCTACCTCCCTGCAGGACTGAGCAAGGATCAAGCTGGCGACTCACAGCTGCACTCATTCCTATTCACTCCCAGAGGTACACTCTTCCAGGGCTATGCGGATTTTGTTATAGGCAACTCCCACCCCTTGGCCCCTCCCTGGACAAATTCACCATTATAGAAACCCATCAGTAATTATCCGTGTCCTCACCGATCCAATGCCTTTCTACAGCAAGCTTTTTCCCTTTTTGGGAATTATGATCCAGATGCTCAACTTTATTCTGACTCCTTTACTCAAGAGTGTAGCCTATTGTAATATAATAGTTTTCTTTTGTACATCCAAGGTAGTGACTATATTATTCAAACGTGTGGTTGTTCTAGAATGGTGGCAAAATTAAACGTACAAAGGGTCTAAAAACTTTAAAGTGATTGTTCGTAAATTATTCATCTAAACTATACGGAGTGGTAAAATTAGTGGCGCTGCCATTGCAGTTGTGGATTCACGATAATTTTTTTAAGTAGTCCCCGGTGATGGGGGCGGCATGGTGGTGCACTGCACTTGTGTTGTCGTGGGGTTTCCTCCGGGTACTCCGGTTTCCCCCACCACGGTCCAAAGACATACTGACATACCAGTAGGATAAGCGGGTTGGACAATGGATGGATGGATAGTCCCCGGTGCTTTGAAGATTTCTTTCACAGACGTATAAAACGTGACCCAATTATAGACCATACTCAATAAATTTTATATTTAGGCTATTTATTGACAGCTGTCAGAGGGAGGTAAACTTACCCTTCCTCAAATTACATGCTTTTTAAATCTATAATATATCAATATAAATATACATAGTCGGAGATATCAAGAACGTTACGCGTGTAGTTTATTATGGATAGAGTGCCCTCTAGTGTTAAAACTGTGAAATAGTGGTTTTACAGAAGGTCGACCCTAGAAAAGCATAATCTCCACAATACATACTGAAGCACTTAAAATATCTCTTCTTTTTTTTTTACCAATACAGTTTAGTTATATAGCTTTTGATGCATACATATTTTATGGTTATTAAAATATTTATTTATTTATTATCTGGTTGTTATGAGTAATTGATGCACAACCTGTGTTGTAAAAACAAATAAAGAACCAATCCACAAAGTCCTCTGCTTTATGACTTTATTCTAGTGGTCTTTTTCAAAGCATATCCCCATGTATATACAATACAATATTCAATTGCAATATCTTGCTCTCTCACCTCTTTTTGGTGGTTACAACATCCACTTTCCAATTTTGACAACCAATCATTAATAATTGTATCTAGCTAATACTGTCATGTTACAGAGCCAAGCAGAGTAAAATATGTTAAATATTTTTAAAATATATTTAATATTATGTTAAATACTTTTTCAAATACTTTTGTAGCTTACAAATTACGTCTTCAATTTAATCAAACTGGCAAACATACAAATACTTTCTGACAATGTATTAAATGCACTACACAGTTAAAGAGGCAGGACAGCTAGATTTAATAAAAAAACACTATTCTGATTCACCAATTGGAGCAAGAAAATATAACTCATCTAGCTATACATCTGAAAATCTAACACCATTTTTCTGATAGCTCAAAAAGTCTGCATCTCTTTGTTTGTTGTATTGCTTATGTTTCAGTGTAGCAAATAACTTGCAGTGCTTACGAATGGATACTGACTCTATTGGTAAGTGAGGCCCATAGTGATACATTTCATAACAAGCACTTGATGGCCATGTGGCTGAGTTGGTTTCACTTTCATCTGATAGCTGCAGGGCTGTGAGTTTGGGTCATGACTCTGGGTTATGGTTTTGCCTGGCAAAGTCTGTTAATTATTCCTCTGCACAATCGAGCGGTGCGCTGTTGAGCTGAACTGGTGGAATAAGTGATGCCTTTGGTCTGTGAATGAGAAAAACAACACTAAACATTTAGACTGGGTATATCATTTAGTTTTTTCTTAGCTCCCGTGTTTAATAAATATAACATATGTAATGGTTTCATATTGTATTTGATCTAAATTGATTACTGATTTCCTTTTGCAAATAACTATATTAGTGGTTTTATCATTTACTAAGACTTTTAGTAGGCCTATAAGTAGATTGTGTGCAATATCTTTACTGTTTTTAAAGCTGTGTCCCTTTTTCATACTAACATAGGACAATAAACCCAATTTGTTTTATTTTACATATTTCTACTTGTTTACAGGTGTTTATTGTTATTTTATATTTTAGTTTTTGATTATATCGGATACGGTAAATGATTGTGATAAAAACAATACTGAAATATTTAATGCGCCCAGCTGACACACAGACACTGATTTATTGACAGGTTTGCCAGTAAACTGGACCATAAATGACTTTTAAGTCCGGTAGTTTTTTTTTTTAAGTCCCGTAGTTTGTATACTGTCCTTTCAGGGTGATGACATCATTCTCGGTTATGCGATACAGGTGGAGCTGTCTAGTTTATCTCCTGATCCAAATTATGAAGTCTGAATTCAACGATTGTATGCTTCGTAAATTTTCCAAATCAGTGCAAGTGCAGACACGTTAGATAACAAGTCAGAATGGGATGCGGCGGCTGGGAGGAGCCTGACAGAAATGCTGAAGTGCACATTGCCGGGGTCCTTGGGCGCCCAGTTGCCGCCTCTCTTTGTGGATGCAGAAACAAAATGGCGCCCGTAATAACGAAGAAACCGTTCTGCACTGCTGGGGCTACAGATAGGAAGGAAAATAACAACGAAGACGAGGAAGGGCAGAACCTATGGTACGTACAAATCTGATTTACAGCTGTTCGTTTTATTGTTTGTGCATAATGTACTTTACCTTCTGTGCTTGTCCTGGTTCAAAATTCTGATGCATCTTGGCCGAGGGGCTGGCCGCACTCCCTTCAAAACAGTGTCTAATTCGGCTAGTTTACGTTATTTGGCTGGATTTAGTAACCCACGACCAACACGGTGTTGTGTTTTAATATCGGAACAACAATGTCTCCACAGCTTCAGAAATGTACGTGATAGCTGACGGGCCCCATTTCGCAGCGGTCGCTGCCTGCATGAGTCTGTTCTGGGCTGTAACCTGCTGTCAGCGCACCCTTCTATGGAAAGCGGCGGTTTAACCAAAAATTGTGGACACTTCCCACAGAAATAGATGGCAAAATTAGCTACATACGGGATTTAAGCGCTTGTTAATTATCAGTGCGATCACCTCTTATGGGAATTTAAAAAGCATAATTCTGAGATTGGTTTACCGGCATGTGGTGATTCCTGGCCTGTCGATAACGTGATGCTAACGCTATTGACAGCTAGCACGCTGAGCCCGAACAAAGCCTGTATTGAATAGATGGATGATATACAAGGATATAAATGTAGATGAAGAACTAGATGGAAAGAGAGACGTATAGAGAGGTAAACAGAACTTTTATTGATCCAGAGGGAAATTGGAGGCGTTACAGCAACAAATCCATAGATCTCGGCCAAAATTGACAGTATTAAAAGATGCAAATAAGAGATGTCATTTCAGAAGAATTGATTTCAGAGGTTGGTTTCTAAACGGAGGTCAATTATTTTGGCCTCTGTAACTGATACTTTTTTTTGCAGAAGTCTGTGTGACAATAACAGTGTTCCCGCTGTAGGCACTCCATTCTCAGCGACGTCTCTACCCGCTCCAGCTCGAAATTACCATCTGGGAAAAATATTTTAGTTTTCGGTGAGTAGTGCTGTAACGCTGCATGTGAATTTGTGTACTGTGTCTACCTGTGCAGTGTTATTACCAGTTTTTCTTGGACCCCTGCATTCACCGGAAATGTCATTGTAATATGTGGCAAAATGCATTGTTTTGGTACATCAGTATATTTGCCATATATTAATGAGACAAGATTCTGTAATTCTGTGAATTTTAGTTTAGTTCAAGGTGAGTGATATGAAATATATTTTTTTTAATTCTATAAATAATATCGGACAAAAGAAGGATCATATTATTTAAAACTACTGATTGTGAATGGGAACGCATTGGAGGTGCCTGATCACCAAACTATTTAATGTGATTTTGTGCATAAGCTTTAAAGGTACTGAGTGCCCCCCTTTTAAAACTTTGAGCACCCACTTCTCAAGAAGTCTTTGCATGGCCATGATGGTTATTTTATTGTATTACTGTTTGGCCCTTTTGTAAGGCTCTTAACCCCCAAAACTGCTGGGGGGCCCATGCTGACCCTAGGCACTGTCTCCAAACTTCACTCTCACGCCTGTATGTGTGCCTCAAAAGAAAGCAAGAAGGAGGACGTTAAAGCCTTTTCCAGTCTTAAAATGACTGGTTTTCTGTACTTGGTTTTCAGGAGAAGATGGTTCAGGAAAGACAACCCTTATGGCAAAACTCCAGGGTGCCGAGCACAATAAAAAAGGAAGAGGACTTGAGTACTTGTACCTGAATGTCCACGATGAAGACAGAGATGGTAGGTTTAAGCGTCTGCCTGTCTTGGAGGTGTGTGCTTTTAATGCCAGAATAGAATAATATGCAGGATGCTTTGACTTTGCAGTGAGCATTTAACTTGTGGAAGCAATCTAATGTATTCATGAGTTTGAGTGATAAGTCTTCAATACTACATTTCTGAAATAAGTCTTCAATTCTGAAATAACAATGGCAGTTGATTTTGCTGGTTGAAAAACCATCCTGATGAGTCATATGCAGTAGTACAGAATTATTTTAGTGTTGTGTTTTTTTTTTTTTTGGAAAGTGAAGTCTGGTCTTCGGCATCCATTTAATGGTCTTATCTAAATGATGGATACCTCTTTGGTTTTGAGCAGTATGGTATAAAACAGAGTTTGCACATTGAATGTTACTTTCTGAGATTGAGTGTGTGTTTGAATTTCTGTGACTTACAGATCTGACGCGTTGTAATGTGTGGATCTTGGATGGTGACCTCTATCATAAAGGTCTGTTGAAATTTGCTGCATCAGCGGAGTCCTTGAGGGACACCCTGGCCATGTTTGTGGTGGATATGTCTCGCCCATGGAACATCATGGAGTCCCTTCAGAAGTGGGCCAGTGTCCTCCGTGACCAGGTGGACAAGCTCAGGATCCCAC